GGTGCTCTTCCCTACCTTGGAGGTCTTTAAGAGAAGGCTGGATAGGGATCTGGCTGGGGTCTTCTGACCCCAGCACTCTTTCCTGCCCAGGCAGGGGATCAGACTCGATCTGCTGTGGTCAATCCTTTCCAATCCTAGCATCTATGAATCGATGGAGGAACATGGATCACACTGGTAGTGATCACACTGGAACAGCACCTGCATCCCTCCCATTTTTTTCGTTCCCCAAGCCAGCATAGAGACCAAGGAAAGAGAGGATGCCTACTGTTTCCCTCAAAAAAAAAAAAAAAAAACTTTACTGTACTGCTAGGATTGCACTACAGTAGAAATACTGATGTAGCCAATAGTTGCAGGAAGAGACAAAATCTACATATCTCAGACAGGGGAAATGTTTAGGATCTAAAATATTTTATGGCTTGAGAGAAATGGTGAGAAATGACTGAAGCCAGGTAGTGAATTATGTAGCCTTCAAATAGGATGCTTAAGGAAAGCCACGAAGATGAGCAGATTCATCAGTGAACAAAAAGATACTCCATAAAATGTTTCCCATTCTAGGGCTATTAAACATGCATCTCATTTGAAGTGGTCCCGATTGATCCCAACCTGGGACAAAAGAGGAACAGCACAGCCTTACACACACATACTCTATGTCAAGCTGCATTGATGCCTCTCTGACAGGCTTGTCCTTCTTAACTTGAATGAGCTTTATACATAGCATGGGGAGAGGAGAAGAGGGGCTGAGGAAGTGTTAGGGCACTTTCTCTCTGGTCATCTTCTTGCCTATGACTTCAGAAAGTTGAATCCTCCAACCACTTAAGTGTAGATCCATCAGTATTGCCACATTCTCTTTTGGTACTTTACAGATACTTGAAGTGGGACTATAGACAGATACCAAGCTCGGTCTCAGACTTCAAAAACAAATTTTAATCAGCTCAGGTCACTAGTAGAGAATCCCCTGAGAGACCAAGAACCACAGGTTAAGGGAGTACAAGAAGGATCATTGATCCTTAAGGATACAATCCTTACGGCTCAGAGAAAATCCATTGCCTTATGGAGAAAAAGTAGCAGAAGGGTCAAAAAAACCCTCTTGGCTAAGCAGGGAAGCTGCAGCCCTCCTACAGAAAAAGAGGCATACAAACAATGGAAGCTTGGGACAGCCTCTGAGGAAGACTACTTGACAATGGCCTGCACTCATAGAAACCCAATTAGGCACGCTAAGGCAGAAACTTAACTAAAACTAGCTACAAGAATCAAGGACAAGTCCTTCTTTAGCTACATAAGGAGTAAAAGGAAAAAACAAATGGGAGTGTGGGGCTGCTGCTCAAAGCCTCAGGAAAAAACACAACTCCTAAATGACTACTTTGCCTTGGTCTTTCACAAGACCAAGGGGAACAACGTCAGGTAGGGCACAATGAGCAGGGCGAGATTGACACTGTTCCCACCACTGCCATAGAACTGGTGTAAGATCAATTAAAGAAATTAGATGTATATAAAAATCAGCAGGACTGTATGAACTCCACCCAAGAGTACTACAAGAGTTGGCTGAAGTAATTGCAGAGCCCTCGGTGAAGGTCTTTCAAAAATCATGGGCCTCTGGAGAAATCCCAGAGGACTGGAAGAGAGCCAATGTTCCCAGCTTCAAGGGGAAGCATGAAGACCCAGGAAACTATAGGCCAATTAGCTTAACTTCTATTCCAGGGAAAATCCTAGAAACATTAATCAAAGAGGCTATACGTGACAAACTAGCAGAAGGCATGATACTGAATGACAGCCAGCATGGCTTTGTCATGGGCAGGTCTTGTCTGACCAACCTCATTTCTTTCTATGATCAGGTAATTCATCACCTGGATGAGAGAAAAACAGTTGCCATCACATACCTCCACTTCCAGAAAGCCTTTAACCTGGTATCCCATGAGGTACTGATCAGGAAACTGGAGGATACTGGGCTCAGCTGTGGCACTGTCAAGTGGGTGTGAAACTCATTGCGGGGTAGAACACAGAGTCCAAATGAATGGATCAGTGTCATCCTGGTGAGATGTGGGCAGTGGCATACCCCAGGGGTTGGTACTTGGTTCAGTGCTGTTCAATATCTTCATGAACAACCTGGATGATGGGGGTGAAAAGCCTATTGGCTCAGTTCACGGACGACACCAATATATGGGGTTGTGCAGACACACCTGCAGATACAAGCAGATCTAGACAGGCTGGCATGTTGGGCAGAACGGAACCAGATGAGGTTCAACGTAGAGAAATGTAAAGTGTCGCATCTGGGAAGGAAGAACCCCCAGCACACCTACAGGTTGGGCATCGCCAACCTGACCAGCACTATAAGTGAAAGGATCTGGGGGTAACAGACCCCAGCATGAATATGAGCCCGCAATGCAATGCAGTAGCCGCTAGGACTAATAAAACTTTGGCATGAATCAATCGATGAATCTCCAGTAAATCCAAAGCGATTCTCTCGCTTTATTTAACATTGGTGTGGCCACAGCTAGAGTACTGCGTCCAGGTCTGGGCACCGCACTTTAACAAAGACGCACTAAAGCTTGAGAGGGTCCAGAGAAGGGCCACCTGCATGATCAGGGACATGCATGGCAAGCCCTATGAGGAGAGGCTGAGGGATCTCAGACTCTTCAGCCTAAAGAAAAGAAGGTTGAGAGGGGACCTGATTGTGGCTTACTGCTATATTAGAGGTGTGTATCAGGGGCTTGGTGAACTGTTCACCAGGGCACCCTGGGGGAAAATTAGAAACAACAGCTACAAACGCCTGGAAGATAGTTTCAGGCTGAACATTGGGAAAAACTTCTTTACAAGTAGGGTGTCCAGACTATGGAACAAGC